CTCCCCTGGGCCCTGGCTTCAAGCTCTTGCTCTGCTCCCCTGGGCCCGGGCTTCAAGCTCTGGCTCTGCTCCCCTGGGCCCTGGCTTCAAGCTCTGGCTCTGCTCCCCTGGGCCCTGGCTTCAAGCTCTGGCTGGTTTCCTAGCAGCACACGCCCCTTGGCAGTGACACCCGGCAGGCATCGACGCTGCTTTCATGTGCATGTCAGGAGCTGTCTGTGCACTGAGACCAGACTCAGTGCTGCCAGATCAGTCGAGCACTTGTTCTTTCTCTAGTCTTTGGGTGTAAACTTCCTGCTGATGCAAATTTGGGGAATCTCTCTTTATTCCAGGCCAGGAAGAACTGCTTTAAGAAGGGTCTCCTATTAACTTTCTTTCCTGGGAGAATTATTTGGTAACTTAAAAGAACCCAGTTCTCTTTTCTCTGGTTTATAAATACAGATGCTTTTGACAGCTCTGTAAGTTTATATGGGGATGCCTGTCAGGAAGTGGTCTCAGCTCTACAGAACTAATAAGAAAAATGCTGTCCAGCTCAGCTATTCTGTACACCAGTGTTATTCAGTAGGAACACAGTGGTTTTGCTGGATGGAAATGAATACTTTTCAGAGCTAGGGTTGTCACTGGAAATCTTTAGGGGAAAGGGAAGTTAGCACGTGTCTCTTACCACTGTAATTCAGGCAGCAAAGCTGCTTTCTGCCTTTGACTCTAAGCACTGAGTGTACCGAGGGACTCTGAGAGCCACTGGATGGGTGCTTTGGTGAAGGCTGATAAAGACGACAGCCTTGGAAACCCTACGGGGCAGTTCCTCCTATAGGGTTGCTATGAGTCAGAATCGACTGAACAGCCATGAGGTTTAAGGAAGGGGAATTCAGGTGGCAGCACAAGGAGAGACCCTGCAGAAATGGTTAACAAGCAGAACTGGGCTCTTTTAGTGACAGTGATGAAAACACAACTCTCTGCTACTGCCTGTCAGTATCACTTGTGGAGCTGTCAGTGCATAGCATCACATATTCACTGATGGGTTTGAAAGCACAGACTAGAGATATATAATCTCTCCTTGTAAGGAGGTTACAGTGTGTGGGAGAAAGGTAGCAGTGATAAGGCTTATTTCATAAATGCTCTTGCAAAAAGGACAGCAGGCTCTTGAAGTGCAGTGTACTCAGCAACCAGCCATTGGACCTGCACTATGCTTCAGGCTGCTGCAGCAAGGGGCGTGGGGGTGTGCACAGGTGAGTTAAAAAAATGGTTTTATTGAGGAAGCAGAAATAAACAAATTTAATTACAATATAACCTGGTAAGTTCTATAACAGGAGCATATGCAAAATGGTATAGGGCCAGAAGGAGGGGCCAACCACTAAACCACTAGGGGAAGGCTTCAGAATCTGAGCCTCAGAAGGAATGCTGGGTTGTCAGATCAGGGGGGCAGTACGGGCAGAGAGAATGGCACCTGGAGACCCAGTGGGGCAGCCCAGGGCATGCTGAGAGTGGCGAGAGGCAGGTCTGGTGGCCCTGGCATCAGCATGCCCCAGTGAGTCTGTGAAAGGCAGCTTGGGCCCAGCTTGCATCAGACTGAAGTTGGATTTTAGGCCCTTCTCTCAACACTGAGCATCCAGGTGCTTAAGTAGGGCAGTAACCTTACCAGATCTTTAATTAAACATCATTCTGATCACATCGGGGATAATAGCTATTTAATTATAGTAGTCACCAACATTTCTTCAGCACTTAGCTTGTACCAGGTTCTGTGTTAAGCACTTTATGTGAATAATCTTATTAATCCTGACAAGTACACTATGAGGTAGGTCCATTTTTATCCCCATTTTACAGACGAAGCAACTACTTCAAGGCAGAGCCAGAATTCAAACCCAGAGTCTGAGTCAGAGCCTGTGTTCTGAAACGCTGCTCTCCTCCTCCTGAGTGTGAACTGAAAGAGGGAGAGGCCATAAGTGGGAAATTACTGGGACAGATCAAGGGTGAAATGAACTGAGACACCCACAGTGAGAGGAGGAGGACACAGAATGAAGAGAGACTTGAAGACACAGTGGACAGGACTTGGTTACTAATTGGATGTGGAGAAGTAGCTAATGGTGCCCAATAATTTTTCACTCGGATCAGCAATTTATTGAGTGGTACCATGTCTGAGGTAGGAACATAGAAGCAGCCCTTTGAGAAACGGAGGTAATGAATTGGTGAAGTGTCTTCAGGAAATCCAGGTGAGATACAAGAAATGTAGAACTAGAACGCAGGAAAGATCTGAGCTAGAGTTTGGGGTCATTGATAGGTAGTAATTGACATGGGAGTGGATGAGAAAAAGCCAAAGACTGTAATTAGTAAGTACCTAGGACCAGCAGAGAAGTCTAAGAAGGGGAGTGGTCAGAGCAATAGGAAAATCAGGAGAGATTGGTGCCATGGCAGTGAAGGAAGGAGTCACTGCCAGGTCCAGCAAAAAGGTCAAATAAATAGGTCCACTGGATTTGACGGCCAGGAGGCCTGTGCTGTTTAAATCGAGAGCGCTCAGTACTGATAGAGGGTGGAGAGACTATGAATGGAAACTAGCAGACTTAACTGACCTTGCTCAGGTGACTTTATCTGATGTTTGTTTCTAACCAGCTTTTTACTAATAGTGGCATTTCTCCTTTTACCCAGGGACCATCAGTGAGGTCTCATTTGGAGCAGCGGTCAGTTATATCAGCATGCCACAGACTCCTTTTTCACACAAAGGCAAGTTATGGGTACCCTTCTTGTGTGGTACACTGCCCACTTCAGGACCGCTGGGAAAAACTGAATTTGTGTTTGACTTCCTTTCAGAGAAAAGTGAAGTCCAGAGTCAAGGACCTGAGATACTGTGTTTATCACTGCCTGATAAACCGTAAGTTTACCAAGAGTTCCTTTTAAGGTGGATGTTTTGTCAAGATTTTTCTTCTAGTTCCAAAATGATGCTATCTTCTCCTTCCCCAGGCCTCCACAGCCTCAGCAGTGGAATGTCAAGTCTCCAGCCAGGAATAAAGACAATCCAACCCCCAGTAGGCGGTCCCTCCGAAAGACCCCCCTAAAAACAGCCAACTAAACAGCGCATTCCAAGAGCTGGCCTGGAAGGGAAGGAAACCTTCTTGTTTTGTGCATGTGGAAAGGCAGCTATGTCACTTCCCTCACACTTCAGAGATGCTTTCATCTTGGAATACCAAAGCTTTCCTTTATGATTCTAGCACTCTTATTTACCACCTTTTTTTAGCTGGCAAATTTTTTATATTTCTCTTCATGAAACATGGCTTAAAAAATTGTAAAATAATAGAGAAGTGTCAGATTTAGATTTTCTTATGCCTAAACTTTAGGTATTTAATGTTATACTTTTATTCCATTTGAAAGTGTCAAGTAAATTCTGATAAGCTATATTCCATTAATAAAGGTTAAGTAATAAAAACAGCCTTCCAGTATTCAGTAGAATTTTTCTATTTTAGAAGAGGGCTTTTATTGGTAGTCATTTTAATTTTACATGAAGTATTTAGGAAGAACAAGACTAAATCCTATCTGGTAGGAAAAAAAATGATTGATTGAGTTCATCTTTAAGGTTTGGTTCATCTCTTGCCTTTGTTCCCATATAAAAGTTGTTTGCCCCCAACAACAGACATCTTATTAGTACACACATACAACTCCTGCTTATGAAAAAACAGCTTCATGTCCCTTATCCAGAGTTGTACTAATGTTGGCTTTGGTGGCAGTTTGCCAGGGATCACTGCTGTAATGGTGGGACGCTGTTAGTCTCCTCTGTCAGCCTCGTTAAGTCAACTTAAAACGTGTGTGTTTATCTTTTGTTCAAGAACAACCAGAAATTGGTTCCTTTTTAATCCCTTTACTACAGAAGTGGAAGTACAGAGTTACAGTAAAAACATGTTTCAATATGAATGTGGTAGCTGGATTTGAGGAATGGAGTGTCACTGTGTTCTGCCCCGCAGCTCTCTCACAGTGTACGCACTGTCCTGACCCTGGGCCTGTCATGGTGGAGCAAGTGACAGCGCCGCTCTTCGGCGAGCAGACTGGTGACACAGCTCCGTGTTGGTCCCCTTGGCGTGCAGTGTAGCAGTCTCTCTGCCTGGGGCTAGACCACTGTACATATACTTGCCCCGCAAAATGCCAGGAGTGAGGGGTAAACCAAACATAAGAACAAATGAGAAAGAAAGAAATAATGAGGCTCAGGTGGTTTTTTAAAAAGCTTTTTATAAATGAGGTTTAACAAAAACCAAGTTACAGGTGTGTTGTTAGTACAAGTTGGTAACATAACGTACAGCAACATCCATACCAAAGGCCAGAATAACAGCCTTGTACAGGCCTCCTGAATCATTAGTCACATTCTTAAAAATACAGTTTTCCTTTCTGTCTACAACTTTGCATGCCACTTCTCTACTTTGTCATACCCAGTTGCAGATGGCACTAGGGTAGAAAAAGACTTTACGATATAAAAGGGGAGGCAATAAGGTGACCCTATCACTATGACAACCAAGATGAAGACTAGAGTGTGTGATTTCCCAACAGAGAGGAGGAGGGAGCGTCCTTTTCTACCAAGAGGAGGTGAAGATGAAGGGATAATCTTAATTCTAAGCATTCGAGATACAGATACAAAAGGTAGGTACCATTAAGCAATTACTGAAGAGTTGCTCACTGCTTCTGCCAAATACCCCACGGCAGAGTTATTTCACGTAACTTAGAAAAGTCAACATGAGTCTCAAGTATTTTAAAAAACTGTCAAAGCATTAAAAATTAAGACACTGAAAGTTTAATCACAAGATGATGACATTCTTCTACATAAAAACTATCCTTTAAGTACACAATGGAATTAGAGGCGCTCCTTTTGAGAAGCTCCTTGCTTCAAAGCACATCACATGGCCTCACATGGCCTCACATGGCAGTGTAACTGAGCCTCAGAACATCCGCTCTGCAAGACCAGGCATTTAGAATTATGTTTCTAATGCCCCCCACAAAGTGAGCAGTGTCTCAGGCTGGTAGAAAATTTAAAATCAGATTTAGAAAATTGCTTTTGATTCAGGCATTTTATGTTCCTCACCATCAGGCTTTTTAACCTGGCTGCACTAGGATATTCTTCAAAAGGCTGGACTGGCTGCTACCACATAATGGTTTATTGTGAAATGAGACAGAGAACCTGTGGTGTCTGAGTGCTTTCATCATGGCAGAGAGAAACAGCAGAATTCATTTTCTTTAAAAAACTGTAGTTGACAGATTTGATTTCAAAATTGCCTGTGGCCTGTTCAGTCTTACAAAAATACACAAGTAATTAAAATGAATTCTAAAAACAGCAGTAGCTGCTTTATTTTATGAGCCATCCACAACCAAAACGTTGAGCTCTGACACACTGGCATCAAGGAACCCAAAGGCTGGGATGCCACACGGAAGCCACCCAGCTTCCCTGAAGTGCCCACCGCAGAACTGTCCTGGAATGAACTAAGTCGCACATGATGGGTGAGACACAGTATTAAAGCTGGCCAGGACACAAAGCCATTGTCAGGGCTCTTGAAATAGGAGTGGATACTTGGGCCAGCACTTGGAAGTGAGTAGCCAACAGCATTGTAGAGGGGCGGTATGTGACTTAACCCCAGGAGTTGCCTGAAGTTTGGACATATGTGTCTAAGAGCTTCTGGGTGGTCTTTGGACATAGGTAACTTTAGTAATCTAAGGAAGAGGCAGTTCAAAGCTAACCTGAGAGCTCCTTATGTTTTCCTTTGGAAAGATGCAACAGGTTTCAACATTGCTCTACTGGAACTTTTAAAAGGTTTCCTAAGCAGCAATGGTCTGATGTATAGATGGCATAAGTCCTCTTGTGAAAAATGCTAAAACTTTTATGGAAAAAGGAATGTTCCAGTAAGCCTCCTTGAGAGGATTCCTTGGGTAAAATACTCTAAATATTGATATTTTCCAATATAACACTAGTAGTTTGGAACTCCGCTAACAGTTCAACTTTTAAAAAAAAAAAAGGTTATTTAACATTGTATGATAACATATTTACAGTTTAAATAGAAATTTTCAATAATCAAAATATATTTTTAGCAAAAATTTAGGATGTAAAATTTTATAAAATAAACAAGACGCATAGAAAAGCAAAACATTATTTCAGTACCATTTCAGATTTAGCCTAAGATGAAGGTTTTCTTTAAAATACTGAAACCCTCCATGGACAAGCAAGGATCCTGCAGGTAAAAAGACCCTTTTTTTAGCAAGCAATTTACCTCCTGATTTTGGTCATTTTTACAAAATGCTGATCCGAAAGTATTCTCCAAGATGGACACTACAACACTGATCAAAACAGACTTTAACAAATTGTGAGGTGCTTTAAAGCCAGTCAATTGTATATAAACCCCTTCTCTGGGTTCACCTGATCAAGCTATGCAGCTAGTTTCCTGCTGGGGCCCAGGCTCACGTTTCACACTGCTGGAGCCATGAAGTGACTCTGTCACCCCTCAGGGTATTCACACTAGGTGATCAACAACTAGTGGCTTCACAGGTCCTCAGTGCCCAAGCACAGGAAAGTGTATGTGAGTGATTTCTTTACAGTCAAATTACTCACTTGGGAATCAGACCAGAAAACAGACTGGAAATCAAACTCAGTGAACTAATTTAGTTCTTTTCCTTATGATTACTATGCCCATCTTAAAGTTCTTTTATTCATGTGGCTCGTTAAAAAGTAAGAAAGGAGTAGCAGTCAACTTTGGCAAAAAAAAAAAAAAAAAAGGAAGAAGCTTTTGTGTGAGTGTCTGGCTCTTTCCAAGTGCACTTTGCTCATAGTTGCTCTTAATAGGAGTTTCTAGTAGAGGTATTTGCATGTGCTTTCTCAGCCATACTGTCAAGATTTCAGATCACAAATGATGATTTGTGTCGGAAGTCGCCCTGCAAAGCAACACAGTTACAACATGGCCATCCTCTGCCAATCCAAGGGCCCCAGTGGGACAGTGGGAAAGGTAAGCTCATGATCAAATCTAACAGTGGTTCCACCATTTCCCTAAAGAGAAGACCTAGAGCAAAACTCAAGAGAAATAATCATTCTTAGAAAGTAACATCTAGAGCTTGCAAACTGGGAGCACCATTCCAGTGTGCACATATCACTGTGAAGGGATAAAGAACAAAGGGTCTGCAATATAATTTGGAAATCCTTTCCCTATGAGACCAACTTGGTTTCCAGATAGGAATGTCATTTTCCATGCTGGGTACACCTAGATTTCTAGGTCTCCTAAACCATCTCTCTGCTCTCTTCCCTTGCTCCTTACCTCATCATCTGTCCTGATATAGTTAACACCATCGGGTTTCCCTGGGTTCTTGTAGCTGTGAAACAGGAGAAGGCGGCAATTCAATGACTACTGGTTGTCATATTAACACCAACCTGAATGAATTCTTGACTCTTCCTTGTAAGGCAGGCTACCTTTCTCCATCCTGTTTTTTGTTGATGAAGTAACCACGTCTGTACGCACAGCAGATACCCACTGTTATCAGGGCCAGTACTGTGAGGACAACCAGGATCCCCCCAATAATTCCACCGATGTTCAGGTCATCTGAAGAAAAGGAGGTTTGAGGGAAGAGATGATGTAAAAGTCTCTGGCCCACCATTCCTGTACCCTTCCCCTACCCTTTTTCCCCTCCCTTCCCTGGCTCCCATGCCTATCCCATCCAGGAGAACAGATGGAGAACACTTTAGATCTTTCTAGCCAGGGACACACAGGACACCATGACCCCTGATTTCACTTGTAAAAAGTACTGAGACTTCTACAGTTCAAATGCAGTTAATACTACTTTAAAAGGGGCTTGGCATTTTATAAAAGGCTTAAAAACTCTCTAGGTAAATCCCTGAGAATATTATTAATGGAGCAAAAAGTTACATTATAAGGACAGAACTCAGAGTCAGGAGTCCAAAGAAAGAAAAAACAATTCCTAATTTTCCAGGCTCTCCCTTTGCTGTAGCTTGTTTGGGAGAAAGGAGCTGGTTTCAAAAGTATTTTACAAAAGTATTTACAAATACAAATACCAGGTCTCTTAGTCATCTAGTGGTGCTATAACAGAAATACCGCAAGTGGATGGCTTTAGCAAAGAGAAGTTTATTCTCTCACAGTCCAGTAGGCTGCAAGTCCAAATTCAGGGCATCAGTTCCAGGTGAATGCTTTCTCCGTTGGCTCTGGAGGAAGGTCCATGTCATGAATCTTCCTTTGGTCTGGGAGCTTCTCTGTCCAGGAACCTCAGGTCCAAAGGACGCGCTCTGCTCCTGGTACTGCTTTCTTGATGGTATGGGGTTCCTAACTCTTCTGCTTGCTTCCCTTTCCTTTTATCTCTTTGAGAGAGAAAAGGTGGTGCAGGCCACACCCCAGGCAAACTCCATTTACAATGGATCAGGGATGTGACCTGGGTAAGGGTGATGTTAACAATCCCACCCTAATCCTCTTTAACGTAAAATTACAATCACAAAATGGAGGACAACCACAGAATACTGGGAATCATGGCCTAGCCAAATTGATACACACATTTTTGGAACGACATAATTCAATCCATGACACCAGGTAAGAGCCTGACCCTTCTTCACTCCACTGGCTGCCTGATCTCATAGCTAAAAGTGCTCTTTAAGGAAATCACCTTGATCCTAATCAAATCAGCCTCTTCCCCTTTTCATTTCTATACAGTAGGCAAAGAGATTTGGTAATCTACAGTGTGGTGGCAGTGGTGGCTGTTCCTTTATGCAAATAAAAATGTACGGAATAATATGCAAAGAATATATCAACAAAAGCCAGCTAACTTGAAGTTATTAAAATTATCCCTTAGCATAGTAGTTCTCAAATGTGTTATGGATTGAATTGTGTCCCCAAAAAAATATGTGTTGTAAATCCAAAAACCCCTATACCTGTGGATGTAGTCCCATTTGGGAATGAGACTTTCTTGGTTATGTTAATGAGACCATATCAGTGTAGGGTGTGTCTGAGCCAATCAACTTCGAGATATAAAAAGAGCAGATTAGGCACAGAGAAGGAAGCACAAATGGAGGGAAAGATACACATACACAACACATGACGATTCCCAAGGAACCCAGGAACAGAAGCTGAAAAGAGACAACGACCTTCCCCTAGAGCCAAAGGAAAGAAAGAAATCTCCTAGAGCCGGCACCATGAGTTCAGACTTCTAGCCTCTTAAGCTGTGAGAATAAATTTCTGTTTGTTAAAACCACTCACAGTATTTGTTATAGCGGCACTAGGTAACTAAGACAGAATTTGGTACAGAAAGTGGGTTGCTGCTTTAACAAATACCTACAATGTGGAAATGGTTTTGCAATTGGATAATAAGTAGAGGCTGGAGAAATTTTGGTATGCTTCATTGTAAGGCTCTACCTTGCCTTAAAAAGGCTGTTGGTAGAATTATGGACATTAAGGGCAATTCTAATGAGGGCTCAGAAAGAACTGAGAGCTCTGATGAGAGCTTCTATTGTCATGAACACAATGTTCCTAGAAACACGGATGTTAAATAAGCTTCTGGTAAGATTTTAAAAGGAAATGATGAACACACAACTGGACACTGGAGGAAAGGTGATGCTTTTTATGGAGTGGCAAAGAACTTGTCTGAATTATGTTCGAATGTTTGATGGAAGGTAGAACTTTTAAGTGATGAACTTGGATATATGGCTGAGGAGTTCTCTAAGCAAGATCTTTAAAAAGCAGCATGGTTTATCCTTGCTGCTTATAGTAAAATGCAGGAGGAAAACATAGACTTAAAAATGGACTGTGTAAAATAAAACCAGAACTTAAAGATTTGGAAAATTCTGTTGTACAAATTAAGGACATGTGTCCTAGAACTCTCACCAAGGATGTGGTGACTCAGTCTTTTGTTAAAGAGGTTAAGCCTGTGACTGATGGATCTATTCAACCCATGAAGCAAAAATCCCGTCAGCTTAGACTGAAAGGGACAGAGACAGTACAAAATGAAGGAAAGCTGCCTGCCTCATGGAACTCTACAGGCAGGAAGCAGGCCAATGGAGCAACTTGGCTGCAAACATCTGTTGTCCTTCAAGTAAAGGAAGGCATCAATCCAGGAACAATTCAGAGATCAGCAGAACGGTTGGAGGAACCATAGTAGGCAGGGTTGCCTCCATTTCAAAGCATGGAACCACCACCTCCATTTCAAAGGGGTAGAACAACCGCCTCTGTTTCAAAGGATGGAAAAACCACCTCCTAGGTTTCAAAGAGTCAGATTTCCACCACCTCAGTTTTGAAGTGTGGGGCAGCTGTTCACGGGCAAGAGGATTATGTTAATGAGACTGCCCAAAGCTAAGAGGGTGCAGTTGCCATGCCCAAGAGCCAGGAGAAAGGCGCCTCCCAGGATCAAGAAGCTAGGGTCACCACTCAAGTGGAACAGGATAATGGGGCCGCTCAAAGCTACGGGGGCAAGGTTGCCATCCCAGTATGCCTGGAAGGCAGTGCTGACACACAGGGCCAAGGGGCCTCCACTCTGGAGAGCATGATCAACACCCACAGTCTGGAGGGAGGGACCATTGCCTAGATGGTCTCAGAGAACAGAGGATTATTTTCAAGCCTTGAGAGCTAATGAAATTTGCTCTGCTGCGTTTTGGAAATGTTTGGTGCCCATGAACCCTTCTTTTCCTCCAATTTCTCCCACTGGTAATGGAAATGTCTATTCTGTATTTGCTCTACCACTGTACTTTGGAAGCAGATAACTTATATTCTCAGGTTTTACAGGTTCACAGATGGAAAGGAATTTTGTCCCAAAGTCTCACCCATGTTTGATTTAGATTTTTCAGCAGATAAGATTTTGGACTTAGAGTTGATGCTGAAATAGGATTAAACTTTTGGGATGATGTGATGGGGTAAATGTGTTTCCCACATAGGAAAGACATGAATTTGGTGGGGGCGAAAGGGTGTAATGTTATGGATTGAATTGTGTTCCCAAAAAATATTTGTTGTAAATCCTAAACCCCTATACCTGTGGATGTAATTCCATTTGGGAATGGGACTTTCTTTGTTATGTTAATGAAACTGTATCAGTGTAAACTGTGTCTTAAGCCAATCAACTCTGAGATATAAAAAGAGCAGATTAGGCACAGAAAAGGAAGTCGAGATGGAGGAAGACTGATGCCAGGCCACACAAGGATTGCCAAGGAACCAAGGAACAAAACCTGAAAAGAGACAAGGACCTTCTCCCAGAGCCAAGAGAGAGAGAGAGCCTTCCCCTAGAGCCAGCACCCTGAACTACTAGCCTCCTAAACTGTGAGAAAATAAATTTCTGTCTTGTGGTATTTCTGTTATAGCAGCACTAAGAAACTAAGACAATAAGTGTGTATCTAAAAATCTTGAAATGTTGATTTTAAAATGTCAATTTCCAAGTCCCATCCCTTGAAATTCAGTAGGTCTGGGTTATGGCCCAGAAGTCTTCCTCCAGGAGAAACTACCCAAGACCAGCTGACCAAACTGGACAGATGGGGAGTTTCCCCAGGTGTCGTGGATTGAAGCATGTCCCCCAAAAAATGTGTGTGTCAATTTGGCTGGGCCATGATTCCTGGTATTGTGTGATTTCCCTATGTGTTGTAAATCCTGCCTCTATAATGTAAATGAGAGAGGATGGGTGGCAGTTGTGTTAGTAAGGCAGGACTCAATCTACAAGATTGGATTTGTTGTCCTGAGGCAATCTCTTGAGATATAAAAGACAGAAGTGAGCAGAGAGACAGGGGACCTCATACCATCAGGAAAGCTGTGCCAGGAGCAAAGCGCATCCTTTGGACCAGGGTCCCTGCGCAGAGACGCTCCTAGTCCAGGGGAACACTGAAGAGAAGAAGGCCAACAGAGAAAAAGCCTTCCCCTAGACTTGATGCCCTGAATTTGGACTTTTAGCCTACTTTAACTGTGAGGAAATAAACTTCATTAAAACCATCCACTTGTGGTGTTTCTGTTATAGCAAAACTAGATGACCAAGACACCAGGAATAGCTGTGAAAATGTGTCTCAAACATTTCCATGTAACAGTGCTCAGAAATGATTCTTAAGACCAGCCAAGTTTGGAAAACACTACTCTAGGGGTGGTTGTACGAGACAGGGATTCAAAAAGCTACCCAAATGATTCTGATGTACCCACTCTGACCTCATTGTCCCACAACACTTCCCCTTCAGAACCAATACCCTAGAGATGGTCTCATCCCAGAACAGAGTGAAACTACTGCTGTGTTGCAGTTTTATGCAAAAATGATTATAGCTAGATCAATTTCTGGAGACCTTGTTTTGATAATTCTATCAGTTACAAAAAAAAGGAGTTTATTAAACTCACTGTTAAAACTTACACGATTAGCTATGTTGCCAATACCAGAAGACTCTAGAAAGTCTATTTTGAGGAGATAAACATATTGCAAGGACCTGGTTATCTAGGCATTTAGGTGTTAGAACTTTCTCATCTTTCCTTTCAATGTACCCAACTGGACTTTAGTGAATCCAGCCCACTCTGAAGACACAGGCCTATGGCAGAACAGTTGCCTAAACTGATGGTCTCATATTAAATTTTAAAAGTGTCCCATTCACCTCCCACTGTTTGGATGAAATCTTTTCAAAAAGTAACAAGTAACTCACAGGAAACAACTTAAGTGCCTGTTAATGGATGAATAGATAAGCAAAATGTGGTAAGAACATACAATGGAATATTACTCAGTGATAAAGCAAAAGGAGTTCCTGAAACATCTTACAACACTGATGAACCTGGAGGACATTATATTGAGCGAAGTAAGTCAATCACAAAAAGACAAATATTGTTATGTTCTCATTTTTATGAAATGACGTATTTAGGTAACTATATAGGAACTATCGTTCATTAGTGGTTACCAGGGGTAGGATGGGAGGGAGACAAGGGAGAAGTACTCCCTAGGTAGTAGTAACTTTTGGTTTATAGTAACAGGAAAGGTGGCCCCGAATGTGGGATGCTGATATTAATTAGGCATAACCAATCACCTCACAGGATTAGTTCTCTTGGTTTGGGAATTCAGGGGTGTGGTTTCATGGGACAATCCAGTCAATTGGCATCATATAGTTCCTCAGGTTTATGTTCTACCTCCCAGTATGGTTAAGTAGTGTCTGGGGTCTTAAAAGCTTACCAGTGGCCATCTAAGATACAACTACTGGTCTTTATTCATCTAGAACAAAAAACAAAGAAGGGAACCCAAGAATCAGAGAAGAAACTGGACCACATGACTACTTGTCTCCATGAACCATTGCCAATTCCACCTTGAGACCAGAACTAGATGTTGCCTGGCTACCACTACTGAGCTTTCTGATCAGAGACACAACAGCTGAATCCTGTTAAAAAGCAAAGAAAATGTGGAATAGAGCTTCAAATTCTTAAAGAGTTCAGACTCACTGGACATACTGAGGCTGGAGGAGTCCCCTAGACTATGACCTTGAGTTGCTCTTCAAACTCTGAATTCAGACTACTCCCTGAAGTCACCATTAAACTAACAGTTTAGCCCAGAGACTAAAAACTGTCACCCTTGAGTATTGCTTTTTAAGAAGAAAAAAAGCGGGGGAGGTCAACAGCTATTTTAAAGCATAGATAAGAAGGTTAGGGGGCAGGAAGTTTAAGTAGATGAAAGTGAAACAACTACAACAGAAATAACGAGAATATTGACACAATGTGAAGAACGTAACTAATATCATTGATTATTATGTCTAGAAACTGGAAAGAGAGAGGGTTTTGCTATGTATATTTTCACCAAAAATAAAATATTTTTTAAAAAGGTCTTTAGAACAAACAAAAAATAACTCACAGACTTCCATCTCCTGTTCCTCACACCTGGCTGAGCCTGCATCATTGGAAGCAATACAATAATACTGCCCAGAATCTTCCTTGTGAACAGCACTGAAAACCTGTTTCAGGAAATTACAAGTAAATAATTAGACCAGTCAGCAGGGCAGAACTGTGAGGGGATGGGACAGGAGAGGCTGACATCCCACCCTAGAACCTGCCAAGTCCAGAATATGGTAAAATGTCTGCTTGTTTGTCAGTTTCCCTTTGGCTTCCCAGTCACTGAGCAGGTTCTTCTTGATAGTTTTTCCTGATAACAATGACATCCTCCTTTGGTACTTACAGATATCAAAGCCTAGCAACATCCAAGGAGACCCTGGGTGGTGTAAACGGTTAATGCCCTTGGCTGCTAACCAAAAGGTTGGCAGTTCGAGTCCACTCCTAGGTGCCTCAGAAGAAAGTCCTGGTACGGTACTTCTGAAAAATCATCCATTGGAAACCCTATGGAACACAGTTCTACTCAGATGCTCATGAGTCAGAATCGGCTTGATGGCAACTGGTTCACCAACACCCAGAAAGAGATGTTGATTTTTTATTCAAGTAAAGGGACTCTTGATGATGATGGCTCCTCGCACTACAGTTTGGCAGTACAGAGAAGTATCCTATGGCTCCTTTGTACACGTAGTTGGATATACCATGGATCAAGAGGCATCTCCCCAAAGAGACTGATGTATAGAAAAAGCCTGATGTGATAATGCTGGTGATGTCAGTCTGTCCTCTAGCACATGACCACTCTTGTTTCACCTGTAAACCATCCACCCACCTCCCACCACCACTGGATTATTCTGAAGCAAATTTCAGACATATTTTATCCATAAATACTTCAGTATATATATCTCTAAAAGATAAGGACTTTTTAAATCATAATCACAATACAATCATCATGCCTAAAACAATGAACAACCCTTTAATATCATCAAATATCGCAGTAATCAATTTCCCTGTCTCATAGTGATTTTTACACTTGGTTATTCAAGGCAGGATCCTAACAACCTCCACCCATTGTGTGTGTTGAATCGCTCTCTTCAGTCTCTTTTAATCTACGGGTTCCCCCTCCTTTACTTAACCCCCTTAGAACTTACTGGTTTAAAAAAGGGAGATTTCCTATATTATTTTGACCTTCTGGACTTTCAGCACCCATCTTGTAAAGAGGTTTTAATGGTTCTCCTAACCACTGTTCTTTCCACAATAGGCATTCCTTGCCGCTACAGAGACATTTCCTTACCAGAGTGCCTGTTTCAGAGTTTAGGAAAAAAGAGGAATTTCGAAATCTGGGGTTGGCTCTGGAGTCAGTGGGCAGAGGCACGTCGTTTCGATACCAGCTGTAGTGAGGCCGGGGGGAGCCCTCGCTCTCCTGGCAGTGCAGCGTGGCTGACTTGCCCACAGGCACTGCCTTTGGGACTCTGCAGACAGGAGTTACTGGCTTCACTGTAGGAAAAATATGGGTTGGTGTTTAACATCTCAGCAACATGGCTCTGGTCTTATCAAAGCCCACAATAAATCAGCTCCAAAAACAAGACAGCTGGACCAGGGCTCTTGCACCACTGCTGGCCCATGAGCACATCGGCAGAATGTCACCAGCCATCACTCTGTTCCATCATTGTAGCTCATCCCACCCCTAGTACAACCACACAGCACATTTTCTTACTCCCTCCACCACCTTCACGACGGAGGTGTGGAGAAGACTGAAAATATGGTAAAGTACCTCCTATACCTGGTGGAGGAAAGAGCAGGAGCCCCACTTCCCTTCTCTCCTTCTACCCCAACTCAAACAGTCTCAGCTCTCCCAAGTGTCTTTCCCTCCCCAAGTCACATGACACCCTTAGGGACTGCGGCTCTAGAAGGAAAGAGATTAAAATAAGAGTTGATCTTTTTTATTGTAGGGACAAAGATGTTTTAACTTCACCTGAGTTCCTTCCTACCTTGCACAGTTAACTCGATGACAATCTCATCAATTTCCTTGCGGTCATTTCGAGCAACAACCTCACAGCGATAAAGGGCCGAGTCTCTCCGTGTCACATTCCAGATCTTCAGGGAAGTTTTCCCCAACAGTTCTGCACGACCTGCCAAGTCTCCTATAGATGAGAAGACATGGGGCACAAAAGACTTTTTAAAGATAACCTTTGCCACTTGAAGAGGGTGGTTTCTGGGGCCAGTCTTTGATGTCACAGAAAGAAGACTTCATATTGGTTTCTGTTTCTATTCCTATATAACAGAAGTGAACTCCCTGAGGTCAGCAACCATGTCTTATTCCCATTTGTCAGCTGAGCACCAAAAGCTGTACCTGCTCTGTAACAGGCGTTCATGATATGTGTCTCTGCAGTGAAAGTCAGGGACCTTATTTCCTTTTCATCATTCCAGGGAAGGTTCCCCATTAAAAAAAGAAAAATAAAGCAAACAACATTAAAAACAAAACAAAACAAATCCAACAAATTGTGCTGGGACAACTGGTTATCCACATGCAAAAGACTGAAGTTGGACCTCTACCTCACACCACCTACAACAAAGACCTAATGTAAGAGCTAAAACTATAAAACTCTTAGAAATAGGGGAGTAAATCTTCGTGACCTTAGATATGATAAGAAAAGCACAAACAACAAAAGAAAAAACTGGGCTTCACCAAAATTAAAAACTTTTGTGCTTCAAAGGACATTATCAAGAAAGTGAAAAGACAATCCACAGAATGAAAGAAAATATAAATTATATATCTGATAAAGGACTAGTACCCTAAATACATAAAGAATTTACATTTCAACAATAAATAGACAAATAACCTAATTAAAAAATCAACATTTCTTCAAGGAGACACATAAATGGTCAATAAAGACATGAAAAGATGCTCAACATCATTAGTCATTAGACAGATGCAAATGAAACCAGTGAAATACCACTTAACCCCCACTAGGATGGCTATAATCAGAAAGACAGACAATATCAAGTGTTGGTAAAGATGTGGAGAAATACATTGCTGTTGAGACTGTAAAATGGCACTTTGGAAAACAGCTTGGCAGTTCCTCAAATGATTAAACATAGAAAACCATATGACCTAGTAATTCCACTTCTAGATATATACCCAAGAGAAATGAAAGCATATGTCCACACAAAAACTTGTACATGAATGTTCAAAGCAGCATTATTCATTGTAGCCAAGATGAAAGCAACCCAAATGTCTATCCACTGATGAACAGATAAACAAAATGTGGCATGTCCATACAATGGAATATTACCCAGCCATAAAAGGAATGAAGTTCCGATACATGCTACAACATAAATGAACCTTGAAAACATTCTGCTAAATGAAAGAAGTCAGTCACAAAGACCACATATTGTATGACTTCATTTATATGAAGTATCCAGGATAGGCAAATCCACAGACACAGAAAATAGATAAACAGTGGCCAGGAGCTGAGAGGGGAAAGGGAGAGTGGGGAGTGACCGCTAATGGGTACAGGGTTTCTTTTTGGGGTGATAAAAATGTTCTGGAATTAGACAGTGGTGATGATTTGCAGCTTTGTAAATATACTAAAAACCACTGAATTGTACATTTTAAATGGGTAGGTGTTATGCTATATGAATTATATCTTAATTTTAAAAAAACATAAGAAGACACAGTAACTCTTTCAAAGAAGCATAAAGAACTTGGAGAACAACAAATAGAGAAAAGAAGTAGAAAAAAATCACATAGAAACTATTACTAAACTTGATGATTGGTGACAAGCATATGAAGGATTTATACTATAATATAATATAAACAGGAAAATGGCTTATGACACAGGATGAACATTTTCAAACGCCATTTCTAACAGAAAGGTTTTTTATATAGTAGTCATCAGTGGAGGATTAAAATTTCTACAATGTAAGAAAATAGTAAATAAAAATCTATCAGGGTGCCAGAGACCAAGTAGACTTCAGTTTTACTCCAGCCCTCATACTTTGTATGGTAAAGACTCTCCCTCCTACCACCATCCCTACTGCTAAGAGTAATCGGTTTACTCAGAAAGTTCTTTACAGAAAATCCCCACATGGTTTCTCTGACAACTAGAACTGCACGTGCAGGCTTTAGTGGGGTCAGCCTAAGTTGCCAAAGAAAACGAATTTGTTTTCTCAGAATAGCATTTCCATCTCTCCAAAGATGAGAGGTGGAAGGGGGCTTCATATTGGTGGGAAACCAAAACTACTTTTAAGAGCCTGTGATTCCCAGTGACAATGAGAACTCTAAGTAGAAAGGCTGTGAATTTAGGTTGTTTCCACAGAATCTCTTTCCCGTCTCTGAAACCTCAACTATCAACTTCTCTGAAACCTCTGAAGCCACCTCACTTAAACTTACCTGCATTTGTACCTAATCTCTACACCTTCCCTCCTGTCAGAATGAAAGTGATGTCCCACTTCCTGCCACCTTAATTCCTTCCTCTCACTCCTCTTTCACCTCTACCTTAGTTCAGAGCACTCACCCCCGCTGGGCTCCTACGACAGGACTCTGAATCAGTTCTCCCGCTCCCAGTTTTGTCCACCTCCAATATGCTCTCCACAAAGCAGCCACTGCAATCTTTTTAAGCATAAATGTGGTCACGTGACTTCCGTCTTAAAATCTTTCATTGGATTCCCAGGACCCTCAAGATAATGTCCATTCTTGCACGGTATTCAATGCTTCATAACCTGGTTGTTACATATCTCTCCAGTCTCATTTCTAGACACTCCTGTCTCTTTCCCTCTCCAGGCCTCAGCTATGGTAAAGAACTTACAGCTTCTGCAATAAGCCAAGCTATGTTTTGCTCCTACATCTTTATAGATAGCATTCTTTCTTGCCTCAACACCTTTCTCCACCCTACCCTTCACCCTTGTGCCTGGCTAACTAGCCATTCTTCATGTCTCTGCTTAGATGTCACTTCTGGAAGACTTCCCTGGCCACCTCTCCTCCCCCTACTTCATGCCACCCAGAGCACCCCAAGCTCTCCCTGGTGCAGCACTCTGGGAATACCTGCTAACCTGATCAGAGGTGCTCTCTCTGGGGGACCCTGCACCAGGTTTGGCCCACAGCAGATGCACGGTAAATAGTTTTGTCTTCTTTCTGCTGCATATGATCCTTCTAATTAACTCACTTACATCACTAACGTCATGGATCATGCTAAGAAGACAGTCTAGGAAAACGTTCACTTTGATTGTCAGAAAGATAGACTGAGGATAGATTAAAATCCTAAGTAATGAATTGATACTTGCTGAAGCTGGGTGACAGGTACAGGGAGGTTCAATGTACTATTCTCACTACTTCTGTATATGTGTGAAATTTTCCATCACAATAAGTTAGAACAACAATAACAACACACACTAGTCCTAGCTACATAGGCACGTGACCAGTCAGAGGTGAGTTTCTGGCTATAACGACGTGCCTGGCCTTGTGTACAAACAGAGTCAGCAGCAGAGAGGACTACAGGATCATACCCTGAATTTTGTTGTCAAAAAACACATAAGTTGTTTGGTCATCCTGAATTTTCTTCCATTCAATCCTGGGGTCATTTGTCTGTGAATCCGTAATGATACAAGATAGTTCCACACCTAATAAGAAAAGAGGGGGAAACAAAAGAACTCTCAGTGAATATGGAAACACTCTAGGTTCACTTGTATACCCAGACCTGCAAGCTACCTGTAGTTTAAGAGAGACCTTTTCTATAGTTTAAAAACATAGTCATCGTCAGGCTCCAAGAGACTTTGAGAAAAGATGGATTTTAGCTAGTCTCTATGAGTCAGAATCGATGGCAATGGGTTTGTTTTGTTTTCTGGTTTGTACTACATAGAATACACTCTCTCTTAGCCCCCATCTTGTATGTAAGAAATGTCTTTGATCTGCGTGCATCAAGCCAGGGCAGGGGTGAAAGCACCAGCACAGAGCTCACTGCCGGCCAGCTGATGCAGTGCCTCACTGATGGGATGCACACCACATGGGCAGCTAAGCAGGCACCCTGAACAGCTCTTTGGCACTATATGTACATGTGTTTTTGTCCTGAGTTGGCTGCAAGACTGCCAAATGTCCATTAGATGGTGCTGTGTTTCCTTGTACTTACTTTCAAATTCCTGTACCACTGGGGTTCGGTTGCTGGATTTGAGATTCACAGCCCCTATCAAGCAGCCTGATGGAAAAAAGAAAAGTAAAATCACAGACAATCCATCCTACAACAGCAGAGAAACCCTGGGCTGAGCTCAGGTTTTCCTCTTCTAGATAAACCACAGTCATCAACCACAGGGGATAGAAAAATATTATATTCTAAAACAAAGCCGCTTAGATGCAGCAAATTAACTGCTTTCTCTCTCAGGCCAGCTTTCACTGGAAGAAGAGTTCTGAGAATTCACTTCTTTCTGAGTCCCAGAACAAAGCCCCGTTACAGCTTTAGAGACTTTTCCACTAAGCATTCCCTTCTTGCTTAGAGTCATCATTAACTCTGTCAACATCTATTATTGGATCGACATGGGTCTTCTTCATGTTGCCATTATTCCCTCCCACCTTTCCCCTCTCCTCTATGCGTAAACCTTTCCATGACACCCTCAGTGCCATATGAGAAAGTCCAAACTCTTGACCTGGCACTTCCCCCATCAGTATAACATCAACACACTCTGGGTATAGTTCTCAACCAGCTAAGCAACCACCTCACCACGGTCTGGTCCATGAAGAAGTTTCCAACAGGCTTTGGTGAAATGAGAAAAATAGTAACATGAAGCTAAGTTTACACTATTGATGAAATCAAGATACGCTGCTTGAATGGTAATCCCTTTCAAAACTAGTACATGTAGCATGTGACTCACCTTGTGCTTCAACAAACACTGGAAACCAGTTAGTTTACCACAGCCCAGAAATTTTTCATCTGGTCTTGGAGAGAGATCAAGTAGGCACATGACCACCACTCTTCAACTACTTGGCCTCTAGGAAACTAAACCATCCCTAGAGGTGGACTTCGTATAGAAGCACCCTGGTTGTAGTTCACTAAACCATCTAAAGAAAGCGTGCAGGGAGACCTACAGCCTGAGCTGCTCTCTCACTCCTTGTACCTTCGGTTGACTGCTAGTAACCACAATCGATTGTTTTTCTTTCTTCGTCTCATTTAACGATCCAGCTAATAATAATGTCACAAGGATAAACTTTGATCGTTTCTTTCTTATTTAATAAGACCTCACTAATTCTAGCAAAAGCCTTTAAAAAATCTGATAAAAGGGACAAAAAACAAGTGTAAAATACCTGAGTTGCTTTTATTTTCTAAAACGCCTGTTTCTACAGAAGGCTGTAGACCCAGGACAAGTAAGAATATTTATTTTGGTTTGATTAACCATGGGCTTCTCCTTCTGGAGGCTGGACATGCAGCTGCTTATGCCAATCACAGGAGACAAGCTGTCCCAAGAAAACTTAACAATAGAGGACCACTCAAGAGAAGTGAAATTCCAGCTAACGTGATTATCCATAACAGCTGGGCCTAGGTCTGATAAGGCCCCAAGCTGGGGGTCCTTTCTCAGAATTATGATTCTATTCCTGAATAGTTCTTAAATTTGTTTAAGTGTTCTAGAACTCTGCTTGGCCAATAGCCCAGCATACACTTTAAAATTTAGTAATAACTTGTGTAAAACAATGGTGCTAGGAAGATTGGAAGCCATGAACCTAACACTTGAAGATGGCATAAGTTACTGATTTGGTATATTGACTGACGCCTAGGATAAGATTCTGACACCACCAGTTAGAAATTAGGGTGGTCTGGGAACTAGCCCTGAAGTGGTGGCTGCTGAAGTTTATTGTGCACACATTAAATCCCAGTGGTATCAGAATACTCACATTGAGATTACATTATTTTAGATTGAGCAAAGAGTTTCTGGAAGAAGAAGGAAATGGGGAATATAGCTTAATTTTAGCTGTATTCTGAAGTCTCAACATGGGGAGAGGAGGGATCTAGATTTAGAGAACTGATGACAGGACAGATTCCCAAACACGGCCTGGATCATACGCTGTTGACCTTTGCTGTGATGGTTGTCAATAGCAAGCAGAGCGATGGCCCAACTAAAAAAACTACTCAAAGCGCTAGCACGCCCAGGACCAATCTCTCTAGGCAAAGAGCATCATAGCTTTGTTTGCTGCTCCTTGAAACACGGGATCCAAAAATTGTTTACCCCTGACATACCCAAGAAGGCTTTAGAGCAATTCAAAGCAACTGGCTAAAAGCCAATGACAGAATTTAACAAACGTACTAACATAACAAAAACTTAAAAGGAATATTCTTCTTGAGTACGCTCAATTAATAAAAATATATCTTCTTGACAATGTTTTGAGAAATCTTTAATTTACTGAAAGCTAAGGATTATGGGTAGTTTAGCCTTCTTGAAAATATATTATTCTTATTAAAAATATGAATATATTTAGGATGAATTTATTCTTATATATGTTTTTTCACTGAAATGATTTACACCCAAGAGATCCCCCTCAAACCAATGATACACTCAGCAAGCATATGGAAAAGGAACCATCCTTGGTGGCCCAGGGCAGATGCTCCTCAGATGAATCAAATTATTAATTGTGGATTTCTTGAAGCTGTAGCTCTTAAAATTAGTCTGCAATGAGATGGTTAGCTCTAGAAAATGCAACTAAGACGGCCAGTGAGGTCTACATACAGTCGAAAGGACTTCCATGAGTTAATGTACTCAGAACCCTCACTAAGCCACCATGGAAAAGAATACAAGACAGCCCACTTCAAAGGTTTTATGGAAAGACAGGGCAGAAGGGGAACAGAGACACTGTGGGGTCTACATCACAATATATAAGTTAACATCAAATCATAGTTGTGCTATCTCATAAGTAATGGTTTTTGAATAACATAAATTCTGATTTTTAAATTTTGATGTATGTTCAATTTCTGGGTCCCACATTTCAAGGAGCAACACGCAAAGCTATTTGACGCTCTCTGCCTAGAGAGATTCGTCCTGGGTGTGCTAGTGCTTTGAACTGCAATGGCATAAATTAAAAATGGACTTGAGAACATCTTTTAGTTTCTTCAGTTCAGATTCTAGAAAGAATAATTTCAGGGTCTGGCTTCAGCAGACTTATGAACCACAGCTACCATGATACATGCTGGTTTGCTGAAACTATTAACAGAACAATTCTTCAAATGACTCGTTGCTCAGCATACACTCATTATCTACAAAGTTCCCAAATATAAGCTAAACACACTCTTTCAAAACATGATCTCAGAAACTTTCTAAAAGTTGCAGAAAATATTGCATTTTAAAGATCACATGCTGAAACCATAATATACTTGGAACGTCACACATCTACCTCTAAAGGGAAGTCTTAGATATGGTAAGGAGGTTTTGAATACAAATTGACAAGTAAGACAACTACACATATCTAAGATGCCATCTATGTCCAAGATCCAATTATTTATACCTGGGAAGGATGAAGAGAGTGGTCACATTACAACTCGTGAGCAAACTGAATTCAGTTACATAATTTTCGGGAAAAGCTCAAGTCAAGGAAATACAGAATATAAAAAAAATGCATATTCACTCATTCAGCAAACACATTTAAAACACTAAATACCATATAATGCTAGAATTGAAGATATAAAGATGAATAAATATGGTTATCTGTTCTCTTACACAAGAATGTAAGCACAGATTTTTATCTGTTTTATTCATGTACCATCCCTACTTACTACACCAGTGTCATGGATTGAAACTGTATCCCCCAAAAATATGTGTCAACTTGGTTAGGCCATGATTCCCAGTATTGTGCAGTTGTCCTCCACTTTGTGATTGTAATTTTATGATAAAGAGGATTAGGGTGGGATTGTAACACCACCCTTACCCAGGTCACATTACTGATCCAATGTAAAGGGAGTTTCCCTGGGGTGTGGCCTGCACCACCTTTTATCTTACAAGAGATAAATGGAAAGGGAAGCAGGCAGAGAGTTGGGGCACCTCAAACCATCAAGAAAGCAATGCCTGGAGCAGAGCGTCCTTTGGACCCAAGGTTCCTGCACTGAGTTGCTCCCAGACCAAGGGAAGACTAACAACAAGGACCTTCCACAGAGCCGACAGAGAAAGCCTTCTCCTGGAGCTGATGCCCTGAATTTGGACTTGTAACCTACCAGACTGTGAGAGAATAAATTTCTCTTTGTTGAAGCTATCCACTTGTGGTATTTCTGTTATATCAGCACTAAATTACTAACACAAACAGTATTTGAAACATAATAGGTGCCAAATAAAAATTACTGTAATGAGTGGATTCTCTCAAACAGCTCAGAGTCTGACAGGCCAAGATAGACATAAAATTAAATAGGGACAACAATATGTGATAGACACTCTAACAGGTTATACCCAGGAAACACAATGAGGAAGCAAGCAAGGGATGCAGTGCCACCTCTCACATTCACTGTAAATGTTTTACCGAGATAAGAATACCACATTTCGGTAAAACCAAAAAACAAACAAAAAAAAAACCCGCTGCCGTCGAGTCAATTCTGACTCATAGCGACCCTATCCAACAGAGTAGAACTGCCCCAAAGGGTTTCTAAGGAGCACCTGGTGGATTCGAACTACAGGTTAGCAGCTGTAGCTCATAGCCACTACACCACCAGGGTTTCCTATTTTGGTAAAGAGAAAGTATATTAGTCACATAGACTCAGCAATTATCTCTATTCATTACTTGGATACTGTATTAGTTTCTTAAAGCTGCTGTAACAAAATACCACAAAGTGAGTGGCTTTAAACAGCAGAAAGTATTGTCTCATATTTCTGGAGACTGGTTGTTCAAATTCCGGGCGTTGGCCAGGCCATGCTCCCTCCAAAGGCTCTGGCCATGCTCCCTTTGAAGGCTCTAAGCAAAGATTCTTTCTTGTCTTTCCCAGCTTCTTGTATGAACATATATTTTTATAACAATTCTGTCAAAATAATGAGTATGAGATTGGCTGGTTGCTCCTAACTGTGCTGAAGAAAGTGAGGAAAGAAAACGATGCTCTCAGGCCTTCAAATTCCCAGCTCAAGTGTGCATAAATGACCTGAATGTTGCTATGTCTGTCCTGAAAGAAACCCTCATCTGCTGCAGCCACAGAGCTGATATTTCTGATAACCAAACCCAGAGTTTCATCCTGTTTGTGGCTGAATTACAATACAAATTCAACTCCCAATCTCACAGTTGTCTAGTGTTAAAGTCAGGGCATTGACTGGGAGGAATGGAATCCTAAAAACTGGAATGGAGACATACGGATACATCCTGTTCAAGCTGGGGAAACTGAATCCTTAAATTTTGCTGAATTTTCTTTGCCAGTAGAAGCAGCCCTTCTACCTGTCTGAGGAGTTAACCCTGCTTTGTTTGAGGAAACTACAATGGTCTCCCCTGAAGTAGCTGTATCGCAAGACATTGCTTATTGTCCTCAGGAGCCACCCTCACTGCACCTATAACTAGACTCAAGTCCCAGCAGTCCCTGAAAGGTGAAATACAAAGTGGCACCCATGAGGAGGTGTGCTACACTCCAGAAGAAGTAATTATTTTTTCTAATTTATACAAAAAGATATCTGGAGAATATGTGAGGGAATGGATACTAAGGGTGTGGGATAATGAAGGAAAAAACAAAGTTGGGTCAGGCCAAATGTATTGACATGGGCCCACTAAGCAGAGACTCTGCCTGAAGGGTTAGAAAGGAATCTAAAAGTATTGTTGGTTGGGTGGTTGGTTGGAACATGGACAAAAAGGTGCCCTACACTAAATGAAGCTGACATGCCAGAAATGTCTTGGTATATTGTAGAACAAGGTATCCAAAGGCTTAGGAATACTGGAATGTAATAGTGGATTGATCGTGCCAGATCCAGCTACCCATCCACCCTGGAAGTGCCTAAAGGACACATCTTTTATCACAACT